TATATTTAACAATCTTCTGTATAGGTTACCAAGACATAGATACTAGCTACCAAAGCATATGAAATCATATTACAGGTACGTAAAATTTTCTCTGGGGAATGTCAACTTAATATATGTATGTAACAATGTACTCCAAGTACAAGAATTTCGACAAATTAGTTTATTGTCTATGGTAAATCAAGGGACATGACCCATAATTAGCATCTTTGATTTGATTGGCTATTATTGAGAATTTAGATGACAATTATCAAATATTTTTCTTAAACAGATTGCATTTAAAACAGAAGAACATAAATTTTCATACGTGGATATTTTTATCAATACATTTCATTTTAATTTTATCAAAATTTAAAACAAACCACTATTCCATTATCGAAACTTTTGATTTGTATGATGCATTAATTAAAAATAGAATCATTGTCTATTGACATATCATATCTATAAATAATTGTCTATATCTATTCAAATGATAAATAACTAAAACCATTTTGTATTGCACTGTTGATTTGGGAAATTTCGGGTCGATTGTTTTATGGAGTTGAGATATTTGAAAGCCAATGAACATAGACTCTATTTATGTATGTATATAGGTGCAATTAGTGAAGTTTCATCCAAATCCTTTATTAATATTCTTATGTTTTTCATTTGGTTTGATATACATATCCAGTTCTTAAGAAATTCTACAATAATCGGTCATTTTTTGCTTTTTGTTACTTTTTCTTATTTGGAAAACATTGTTTTGGATGGTTCACTCGTGTATTTTATTTGTGTACATTATAATAATTGTTGATTTTTCTCAGGTTTGTGATATATAAAGTTTTTTTTGAAGGACTGGATCTAATTTAGGACAAGATAGATCTTGAATTTGTTTTGTTCTATTCGAAGACAATTGAAGGATATAGATCAAGAAGGGCATCCACAATCATCGTCATCATTATCCAAGACTAAGGATTTGGATGATCCATTTCACTCGATTGGATTTGAGATCGAAGAGCTTATGCCTAGGAAGGTATCCGACCATGTCCTCGTTAATTTCAAGGTGTGTCATGTAAATATACAACAGGAAGATCCAAAACTGCATTGAAAATTTTTATAAATTCATTGCACCATGGTAGATGAACGGAAAGTACGGTCATAAGTATGTGTATCTAGAGTATGTAACATGTGTATATGGGTATGTGAAAAATGAAACAAGATATAAAGATAATGTATGCAGTTACGTGAATAAAGTACTCAAGTATTAACACTGAGTTTATGAGTATATATACATTACAAATGTATTATTTGTAAAGTAGCAGATATATTTGAATTTAGTTGAGTTCCTACAACGATGGAAAATTCTCTAAATGAAGTAGCAGTAGGTACACAACTAGTATGAGTTCGTACACCAAGCCAGGTTTGAAGCAACAATCATGTACTCTAACAACCAATATATTTATCACTTATGACTTGTTTAGACATCTACAAGTGGAGGTTGGACTATGATTGTACATATATCATACAACTTAACTAAGTCATTTCTGACTTGTTTAACCATCCATAGTAAATATGTATTGTTTACTTTTTTATACAATTCAGAGTGTCGTGGGAACACTACCATGATGAATTCATCTTTGGTCCGACATTAAATGAATATTTCGAACTGAAAACAACCGATTCCCCAACCACATGTTACCAGGGCATATATATTTGTTACTGAAGCATATAAGACTATTATTATATGTACGTCAGATTTGTGCCAGGGCACGTATATTTTGTATGCAGGTATATAAGTATGTGATTCAGGTACAAACACCGACTAACGAGGCATAATTAATGGTTGCTTAGGTATTATTTGTGCACTATCAGGTATCCTCAAATTTAGTTGATTTCAGTTAACTCACGCAGTGGAACTGATTCACAAACTCGGTAAGAGCACTTCCTCTGTTAACCTTGGTGGACCGAATATTGTTGTATATGCTACAATATGGATTACTATGTAATAGGTTTAAATAACAATCAATCCGTGGGAGCAATGATGTATGATAGTGTTTCCCCATTGGATTCTTGTAAACATGTACTTTTTGAATGTTAATACCCTCTAGAAATTGGTAGAAATATTTCTATCTTGTTTAAATTCCCGGTTCCCATTAACATGTGAGTATATATTGCTTTCTATGATTATTTTATTAAAATTATTTATTGTGTCAATAGTATTTTTGTGAGATTAAATTTACTTTCAATGACACAATTATATAAGAATGAGACTTGTTTGGACTATAATGGAACTATGGATATATTGGTGCATAATATATTGCATCATAGAACTTCTATTATTCTTGTATTTTCAACGTTATCCAACTAAGTATTTTTTATATAGTTTATCAATTCATAGTAGATATGTGTCGTTTATTTTTTCATATAGTTCTAAGATTCGCAAGAACACTATAATGATTAATTTACCTATGATTACCAACAACAATTGAATATTTCTAATTCAGAATGATCCGTTTCCAAGAACAAGTTATCAGAATATAGATACTCATTACTGGAGCATATGAGATCGTATTATAAGTACGTAAAAACTACCCCGGGGTATTTTGATATTTAATGCAGTATGTTATGGGTACAAGCACTGAAATCAAGGTATTATTGATGGTTGCTTAGGTATTATTTATGTAGTAGCAGATATCTTTGAATGTGGTCGACCTCACTCAATCCCTTGACAGTTGCTTAGGTATTATTTATGTAGTAGCAGATATCTTTGAATGTGGTCGACCTCACTCAATCCCTTGACGGATGAGGCAATTAAGGAACTCGATGAAAACACTTCTTCTATTAGCATTTATTCACTTCATTGGTGGTTGAGAGAAATGACAACGATTGAGAGGGTATAAACCTTTGCAGTACGTGTATATATTTTTCTTTCTTAGGTGCACCACTGATGTACTCAAGTATCCGTAAATGCACTTTTGCTCATTCTAGGCATTACTTCAACCATTGCAAGGTCTTATAATGACTTATTTAATTCCAATTTAAGAGAAGTCTGCATAACTTTTTTGGTTCATTGTTGTCTTCTTACAAGGATAACATTACTAACTGATGGGTAACATGTATATGAAAATATATGTATTTTGAAGGTATTTTGATCTAGTTAGACGGGTACATCGATCTTTTGTGAAGGTACATCATGTGCATTATTGCAATTCTGACTATGTGAATAATTAATCTTACAATCATTCACAACACAATTGATAGCATTACTCCAAATATTAAGTTTCACCAAATTCAACCAACGATTCAATCTCTCAATCAATCTTAATACAATCTCATCGAATCGGAGACCAATCAAACCAATTCACCAACGACAATCCAAAAATTACATATTACCCAAACCAAACACAAATAACATAACCTAAATCAATCCCAAATTCATTACAGACGTTCACTTACCTTGTGCTGCTCATCAGAATCTACGGTTCGGATGATGCACCTTTCAGTATTCTGGCCACAATTTTACTATGGTAGTTTTTCATATTATCAAACTCGTCATCGATACCACCAATGAGATAGACTTCCGGATTCGCGTGGCATAACTTTTGGCGAACATGTGGACCAAAGGACTGCAATCGAGAGTGTCACCTTGATGCCGACATCTTATGTATTCGGGTGTTTTCCTTACCATGGGCCATAGGTGTATTGCGATTAGGTACAACTGTACAAGTATAAAAAGCATGTCTGCAAAAATAACACAATATTTTGTTACGTAATTCGGTTTATCCATGGTCGATTAATTGTATTTATTTCGTAAATACACTAATTTTTTCGCGTTCTCTTGTCCGAACGGATTATGCAGTAAATTGCACTCAAGCACAACCCGACCTACGGTTTATTAATAAATATCATCAATCTATATTACCCAAATATCAAATTTATTAAAAAAATTTATCAGAATCTATCAGGAGTACGTAACGATACATTTCAAATACACAGTAGTCCCCTAAAAGTATAGTCAGGCTCCTCAACACCGAACTGAGACATACAAACACGGTATAAAATACTAATGTCAACAGAATAGAAAATCGAAAAAGTCCGACCAGACACTTACTTCTTCGAGCTTGTCGGGGGATGGGAGCAGGTCAGTTATTTTCTTCAATATTTTTGCACAGATCAGACGTTACTTGATCGCTAGGGATTGAAGAACGTCAGTTCGCCTAAAGATGGAAGATGTAGGGTTTAAAATCAAGATTAGGGGAGTTATAAGAAGTTTCCTGCCTCAACCCCTGTTAAATCGTGTGTAACTATTTTTTTAAAAAAAATTGTGAAAAAATGTACGCGATATTAAAGTAGAAGTATATATGATTATAATTGAGGTAGAACGGAAAATAATGTTGGTATATATTACAACTTTGAAGTATTGATAAACTTATTTCGAGTACCTGTTGCGTATATAACATTAATTGAGAGGAAGATACAATTGGGGAGTATACCTAATCTATAAAGTAGGACTAAAGTCTAATTTATTTTAAATAGGAACCGAATTACAAGTGAATTCATTCGGAGATTTTATTCCAACTTTCTCATTTATTTATTAATCTTATTTTATAAAAATATAATAATATACAATAACTTTAATTATAAATATTTTATATTTATAAAATGTGTATTTCATATAAATTTATATAATTATACATATGAATAAAAATTATTCTTTATTCCTACTAAATTCATATAATTTCATAAAAAATTCAATCAAATATGTAATATTTCATTTAAATTAAAATTATTAAAATTCATCAAAAATCACACTTTTTAAAATTAAAAAAAAAAATTATTAAAATGTCAATTAAATACATCCCCTAGATATGAAAATAGATGTAGGATTGAAATCCAATTGACCGTTGAAAAATTTTTCAAGTACAATTATGATATAAAAAAATAATAATTAAAAAAAAAATATATATATATATACAAAACAAACAAACGAACAAACGTGATACATACACGGATCGATGGCGGAAGCAGAAAGAGCATCGAGAAAGCAGCCCCAAATCATCGATAATGGATCCGTTGGACTCTACTTCTTGGAGTTGGAGTTAATCCCTAGTCTGTTATGTTGTTGGACAGCGCCGGCGCTGCGACTGCGAAAGCGACGCCGACCACCACCGCTCCTGTCTTAACTGTTTGTCTTTTCCTCCCTCCCACCCCTTCATTTCTCTTCAGTATGCGACAACCACAGCCCCTAAGGGGGATCGTCATCGCCAAATGGGTTGCGTGCAGGCGAAGGAGGCCACCCACGGAGGCCACAGGGCTGTGGACAGACTGAAGCTCGAAAACGGTTACATCAAAGGAGTAAAAGATTTCGACAAGGGCCGAGGAGGAGAGAAGAAGACCGTCGGAGAAAGTAGTATTAGTATCAACATTAATGGAGGAGGAGGAGGAGGTGCAGATGCAGATGAACTGTTCGACGGATGGCCTAAGTGGCTTGTCGACAACATTCCCAGCAACTTGCTGTCGGGATTGCTTCCCAAAACTGCCGATTCCTACGACAAACTTGCAAAGGTCTCTCTTTTTTTTTTTCTCTCTCTCAACATTGTTGGTTTTGTTGTATGTAATGTAATATTAATTGGCATTGCAGATTGGCAAGGGAACATACAGCAATGTCTACAAGGCTCGAGACAAATCCAACGGGAAGATTGTCGCGCTAAAGAAGGTTCGTTTTGATACATCGGAAGCAGAGAGCGTCAAATTCATGGCAAGAGAGATCATAATATTAAAAAAGCTCGATCATCCGAATATCATTAAACTTGAAGGGATAGCCACTTCAAGAATGCAGTGTAGTCTTTATTTAGTTTTCGATTTCATGCCGTCTGACCTCACCAAACTTATCACCCAAACTGACAGAAGGCTCACGGAACAACAAGTAAATAAAATCAATCACTTAATTTGCAATTTTCTCCGACATTCTTTTTATCGAGCTTATTGAAATCCATCTGGTGTAATTATGTATGTATGTAGGTGAAGTGTTATCTGCAGCAGTTGCTTTCAGGTCTGCAGCATTGTCACAAGAAAGGGATTTTGCACCGCGACATTAAAGGGTCGAATTTGTTGATTGATAAGAATGGGATCCTCAAAATTGCGGATTTCGGGCTAGCCAATTTTTACAAGAACAAACCAAAACGGCCCCTCACGACGCGAGTAGTGACATTGTGGTATCGAGCTCCTGAGCTGCTTCTTGGCTCCACTGATTATGGAGTCGGCATTGATCTCTGGAGCGCCGGGTGCCTTCTTGCCGAGATGTTTGTAGGGCGCCCCATTATGCCCGGTCGAAATGAGGTAGTAAAATCTTCATATATATATATATATATATATAGCTAAATTGTGTAAAATTCGCCCGTAGTTTCACGAAATTGCTTCAAATCTCCTATATTTCTAAAATTACGTCAAACTCCTCTTGGTATCATAAACTTTGCGTCAAATCACTCGGCGGTTCTTATTTAACGGTATTTAACTAAATGCTAAATGCGCTCAAACTGCGAATAAATTTTAAAATTTCAATTTCTAAACCCCTAAAATTGCAAATATATATTTTAACAGAGTCTAATACAATTTTAATCGCAAATATATAGTTTAGATCGCAATTTGGGCGCACAACGGTTAACAGAGTTTAATGCAATTTTAAAAGTACAGGGATTTAGCACAATTTTATATGAACTCACACGTAGGTTTTGTGTAATTTATCCTATATCTATCTATATATATATATATATACATATTGCTGTTTTTTAACTCATCTTGAAGCTAAACAAGAATCCATTGGGACTCAGATTGAGCAGCTTCATAAAATCTACAAGCTGTGCGGTTCGCCATCAGAAGATTTCTGGAAGACAGTGAAGCCACCGGCAACATTCCGACCCCCACAGCAATACAAAGCTAATTTCAAGGAAACCTTTTCGAATATTCCAGATGCAGCCATTGGCCTTTTGGGGAAACTTCTAGCTCTTGATCCGGGACAGAGGGGGGATGCTACTTCAGCTCTCAACAATCAAGTATAGCGCTTTTACAAGTTTTTTGCTCGGTATTAGTTGCAAGATAAATAAGACATTGTTGATTTATTATACAAACTCTGCAGTTCTTTACTGTCGACCCCTTGCCATGTGATATTTCCGGCTTACCCGTGATAGTGAATGAGGAAGATGCTCCCCCAATCCAATCCATTAATGGATTTAGGTATGTCTTCGTCCTATGAATTTATGTTCTTTTTCCTCTTGCGATTTCATCTGTGTATGATCTAAGTTTTTTATTCCATTCACAACATGGGAGACCATTTAAAAGTTTTGCCTGCTCGAGTAGTTTATATAGAAACCATAGGTGCTTGTACATTGTGATATCTTAAGTATTCGAATGGTCTAAACGAAGAATGCTTGGCTTAGGAATCATCAGTCATCCCCAACATTGTTTGTCTGATCTTTTCGAAACAATTGACTTGCAATTGAACTTAAAATTAGTATAGGCTGTTGTATCTTCATTTAGTCCTACAAAATGCATCACTAAATTGACTAACAATATTATTTTTTGCACAAGTAAAGCATAATCAAGCAATGATTTTCTTTTCAAATTTAACATCCTATAACTTTTGGAGTGGAATTACTCGTAACCAACCTATTATTGCATTGGGAAAACTGTTTTTAGTTTCGTACGTGACTCATATCATTTTAAAATTATAATTAGATTTTATATTAAATTAGTATTTATCGTAAATGATCTTCAAACGCCAGAGTTGCTAGCATAGCAGCATCGGGCATGCCGGACCTCGTGTAGATTACAAGTGGACCTCTATCTAAAATCATTTTAGGACCATAATTCCGACGCCTAAGGACTATTTATGTCATATTTTTTTAAGTTGCGGGACTAATCCATTACAGAGTTTTATGATCCTAATAAGAGGAAGTCATACAGGGACTAAAAAATGAGTTTTTCCTATGGCATTTTTTTGGCTTGATTACAAAATTTAAATAGAAATGAGAACTTCGGACAGGATTATATAAGTACATTTTTTATTTCTTGGATAGGATAGGATAGGCATTATTCTGACTACTCTTATACAATGTTTTGGTACTACAACATTGTGAAACAGAAACATCGATGGAAAGCAACAATCCAAGAAAACCGATGGAACTGATCATCCAACGAGAGATTTTGTAGACACAGCATATGCAAAACAGATAAGGGTATGTCATCGTTTTCACTTTCATCGATGCAGCAAATAAGTGTTTTTCGTAATAATTGAATAGAATGGCATTACTAGGACATGCACATGGCGAGAAACTTTATGAGGCAGGAGACAGAGACAGAAACAGCCACCGGGCAGAGCAGCAAACAGCAGGAGATCACGCGTTCTCAACAAAACCAGCGATCGGCAATAACTGAGGCGCATCCGAATGCTCTGAAGAACATCAAGAACTACCCTCTCCTGCTGGCGTCTTTGACAGAAGCTGCTCACCATCTGGAAGAGAGCAAGTCGAGCCTGTACCGGAGGTCCATTTCCAACATTGATTTTAGGAACCTTGACATTGACAAGATATCAAAGCTGTTTGGTTTGGAAGAGGAAAACTAACTGAGCTTGGCTTGGGTGCTATGTGTGTATGTATATGTATCCTCTGCTGCTGCTTAATTGAAGAGAAATTAATAATTGATGTGGATATATAAATAAATAAAGAGTTTGTTTGTTTTGTTAAATAGTTTGAAGTAATATATATGTATATATATATATATATTTTATATGATGTATAGAGAAATTAGGGTGTATTTGTTTGTGGGTTTGGGTTTTTAGATTTGGATTTTTGAATAGTAAAATGTTGAATTTGAATAATTGTTTGATGTGATATAAATATATATTGAATTGATGTTTTGAATGTAAAATAAATTTGTAATATAATATAAAAAAGAAAAATTAATTGTTTGCAAAAAGAATCTGAATAATAAACCGTTGGACTAAAAGTCACAAAAAAATACAACCTAAGTTATTTGGAAAATATATGTTATTTTTGACAAAACAATCAAACCATGGAAATTATTCAAAATCTTGATTTTTCATGATATCAACTTCTCATGTAACTTCAAACTTCAATATTGTGATTAATTGTAGAACGAGTTTTATTGACTAATCTGGTGCTGATCAACAACATTCAAATACCTTGTTTATTCACCAATAGTTTTTATATTGCAAAAATTAATATTTTAGGGGTATAAATATAATTCACCCATCATTGGTTTATATAATTTTTTTTTCCTCTTATTGCTTCAATTTTGATGCTGAAAAATAGAGCAAAATCACTCAACAAAATTTATGGACAATATCGATTGAGGCGAGCAAAACCGATTTGCTTTTATTCAAACCTCAATTGTCCGCTCAATAAGCAATAAAGATATCGAATAAATTGAAGTTTCAGATGTTTAATCTCTTTCATCAACAGTGGGTGATGAAGTTGAAATTGTCTAACCACCTAAGTAAAATGTAGATATTATATTGGATTCGATTATATTTGATTTATAACATTGTGTAATTTGTATATTAATCAATGCTAGAAAAGTAGAGAGACAAATTATTGTGTATACCTAGAAAAATTTGAAGAATAATTTATAAAATTGTGTTTATAGTTTTTCAAGATCTGAAGAATAGTCAAATTTTTAGAATTTTGTTTGCATCGGTTAAGAATTTGAATAATGAGTTATTTTGTGTTAAAATATCCAAATTACTTTAATTAATATAAATTAGCATTTTGTTCGGTTGAATTTAACATTTGCGTGTGCATAGATGAGCAGTTCATACTATATTATACAATTTGACATTTGATGAGATTAAATACAAAATTCAACATTTTTCTAAATTGTGTGAAAGTATTTTAAAATTCAATAAACAACATATTATTCGACATTTTTCAGCCTGTACTAAATAGAGGATCCATATAGATTGACATACATTGAAATTTACAAAACCATAGAATGTTTTCAATTTCTATTGTGAGTATGCACATAATAAGGGGTTTGTATTTATGATTAAAAAGGTAGAACAAATTAAAAAATGACTCGCATCGGAATGAAATATTGTTGTAACTAAGTGAGATACAAAGAAGACAATGATATGAAACCAAATCAAATTGAAGTTTATCAGTTCCTTTGTAGGATTTTACCAAAATCTTACTATTCATCCAAAATTTTTCCCCCAAAAACATCAAATCAAACACCTATTTTTTATTTTTTATATTATACTAAAAATTAATTTTACATTTAAAATATCACATCAACATCTATTTATATCACATTATACAGCTATTCAAATTCAAAATTTTTACTATTTAAATCTCAACTCAAAATCCAAACCCCCAAACAAAAGAAGAAAACAACAAAGTAGGAATGACGTCGTAATAATGCAACAATAATATGTTGTAATTCAAAGATATGTTCTCAACTAGACAAACGAAATGAAAAATACGACATACTTTCCACATCTTATGTATTAGTGTTTATTACAAAATTAAAATAGTTAAACTATTATAATCTATTTTGCTTCAGTTTAGCATTTCCGTAACATATATTAGCATTCATTGTTGTTTAAAATACTTAGATTATTATTAGTTAAAATGAATTAGCATTTTGTTTGATTGATTTCACCTTTTATATGTGCATTGAGATAATTTTGTATTATATTATTCAGCTCAGTATTTGATAGTATTAAATACAAAATTCTATCATTTTCTACATTGTATAAAAGCATTTTTAAATTTTAATAAAAAATATATTATTTGATGTTTTTCAACATCTAATACATACATAATTTATAAAAATTGATATGTAATGGAATTCCTAATTGAAATTACTTATTTGAATACTCAAACTATTCATTATGTGAAAGCATTTTAATATGGATTAGTATTTATTATTGTATTAAAATATTCAGATTCTTGCTTATTGAAATAAATTAGCATCATGTTCCATTAATTCCAGCATTTACATTGCATAGACATCTATTTATTAATTTTAGTTTTATAGTTTGATAAATTCGAATAAGTTTAACTAGGGCGTCTCGGATATTTTTAAGCCCAGACCAAAAAATAAATAATAGGCTCTATAATTTATTTATTTTTTTATGGTGTGAAGTGGATTGCCGGGCGTAGTTTGCGATGCATGTCGACTACTATAAAATTTCACAATATCTTGACTATTAAAACCAATAACTCAATAATAATAACTATAAATTCTAAAGACGAACCTAATATATGATTAATTTTTTAAAAGATCTGTTTAGAATTTATTAGAATTATAATTGGATTTGAGATTAACTTTAGAAAAATTGTAGTTAGAGTTTATTAGAATTAAAATTGAATTAGATAATTGTAGAGAAAAATATGAGATACAATTTCAATTTAACTTTAATAATTAATATATCTAATAATAATAATGCACTTTTAAAATATTTATAAATCCCAAATGCAAATGCGAGGAAGATAGAATTAATTTTAGAAAATTTAGGGTTATAATTTAATTTTAGAACTAAAATTAGATTGAGTAATAGTTAAAAAAAATAAGGGATAAAATTTAAATTAAATTGTAATATATTTAATAATAGTAAGATAAAATTAAAAATATAGGCCTTCTTAAGGTTGCTCCTGCTAAGAGGCGGCTATGAGTTTAATTTTGTTTCTGTGTGTTGGTATATGGAAATTGCTTTCTTCTCTCACAAGATTATTTATCACATTATTATATTTTAGTATCCGTGATATTTCATCCAAACTTAAGTGTCTATTTTATTGTTTTGAGTAAACTTTAAATTACTGTAGATAATTTTCTCTTATTATTTAGTTTTGCTTTTGTTTTTCATGCTATTCAAATTTTTAAAAATATTATATCAAATATAATTTTTTTTCCTCATAAAATATGACATTAAATACTAAACTTTTATTATTTTAACTTTTCAAAATTCTAAAATTCTCAAAAATCTTTTATCTAAACATAACTTATATCTTGTTACAAAGGCCAAGGATGTAAAATATATACTTATAGTTCAGTTACTATGATTGTGCATCTTGTTACTAAATAGTGTATTAATAGTTTGAGATATATTGTGAATATATAGCTTTATGGTTTTTTGGGGTATTATGAATATAATCACATGTAAGAATGTCTTACATGATTAGTGAGTATAGTTCTTAAATCAAACGTCCTCAGACTTTATATGTGCTTAAATCCTCAGAAAAGTTTCATTACCCCATCTCCAACCCATCAACTTCATTTATCCAGTTTTAACTCTAATCATAACTCTATTTTTCACTATTATTTTTCAAATATTCAATTTTTCCTATTATTTTAAACAACTTTTTATTTTTATAATGTAAAATAAATTTTTAAAAAATTTAGAAAAATAAAAAATAAATTTTAAAATTTAAATTTAAAATTAAAAAATATATATATATAGAGCGACGCCATTTTTTGACGTTGCACTGTAGTAACGCCAAAAAGTGACGCAAGATTTGGCGTCGATTGGAGACAACCGACGCCAAATAAACCAACCCAGCGCCACTAAAGTTGTTAGACCATGTTAAAATAGCAAGGGAGAGTAATGTGGTTGTGAAATTACTGAATGAATAAAGCCATTTGCAAAATATTTACTAGGTTAGATCAATAATTCATTTCATGAGAATCAAATTGTATCTTTGCCAATTCTATTTTGAGATGATATTTGGAATTAATAGTATTGATTTTGATTAGAAATCTCAACAAAACTAACTAAATTGTGCAAGTGTATTTGTTTTAAGTTTGAATTTTTATATGAATACTAAAATTTGAATTTGAATAATTATTTAATATGATATAAATAAGAATTAGTAATATTTTGAATGTAAAATTAATTTTAATTTAATATAAAAAATAGATATTTAATTTAATATGTTTTGAAAAAAAAATTGAAAAATAATAAGAATTTAATCAAAACATCCAAACAAACCGACACAAAAAATTAATGGAGTATTTAATCAGTAATAATTTATAACCTTAAAAGTTTCTTATTATCCATGTTGGGTTTTATTTCAGGTCCGAACCGAACCGAACCGACCCGATCCAACCCTGCCCATGTCGACCCGGTTTATACACCCCTGACCCCTGATCCTTAAATTGGATCATTCTTTCCCCAAATCTCATTCGTATCGATTAAGATTTATTATCGGCATCTCTTCTCCTCCAGTTCGAAATTGATGCTCTAAGGGTGATATGTTTCATTTTCCTCAGTCTTATTCAAATCTGATTCTATTCCGGGTCTTTTGTTCTTCAATTAACAGGGAAGTTTATTCCTAATTTTGGGGCTTATGTGGTTTCTTGGTAGCCCTATATATATATACTAGTGCTCGTATATGTGCGGCTACACCGCGTAGGCTTTTTGTTTTGATAGAATTTTTTTTGTGATTTTTTTTTTTATATTAATTTGTTATATGATTTAAATTACTCTACAAAATGATATATATTAATATGTTTCAAATTTCTAATAAATTTTTAAAAATTATATTATATGAATATGAATATATAAATTTAAATAAATAAATAATATGAATGTAGATATTTTGAAATAAAAAGAAAGTGACTATCCGAATTGGTGAGATGGAAAAAAGAGAGAAATAAAAGAGAATGA